CAGATTGAAATAGCTGAAATCATTAAATGTATTAACCAAAATGGACCATGAATTTGGTAGGGCCCTAATCCTAGATTTGGGCCCACTATGACCTAGCATGAAGATAATGCAGAAGACACAAACTACAGATTACTAGAGGCAAAAATGGGTCTAATCCAAACACTGCAAATTTATAGAAAAGTTTAGGATCTGGATATAAACTGTGTACATCTAACTAGAAGTTATTAAAATGGCATTTGGAGGGACCATATAGAAAGCATCTCTTACTAAGAGTCTGAAGTGAAAATGTATTGCTACCATACCATGATTTTTTTTTTTAAAGTCACTGACCGAATCTTTGCTTCTGCATCATTATGTATGTGTGTTGTTCTCTATTGCAGGCTAGCCCCAATGGCCCTGCGTGGTGCTGGTGGGTCCTTGCTGTCCTTCCCCTTGAGAGTAGAGCTCAGCTCCCGTTTCTTGCCATGAAATCTATGAAAGACCGCTTGAATGGCATCAGACGAGTCCTTACATTTATGTCCCGTACAAGGTCACGATGATGCTGAGAACGAGCTGTGAAGCCTCTTGCAATACTTGACTGTGGAGTTTCTCTTGTAACTATATCTAACTGCAATAATGTCTTACGGATTTGTGTGTCAAAACAGGACAAGTTTGAAGTCTAACTTTCAAAGGAAATAAAATATAAAGAGCCAAGGATATTTACAGATCACTCAGTAGTATCCATTTGGATCTCTGAACTTTCTTGAGATGAGTATTCAATTGCTGCACTGCTAGGCTAGTATCATCGGTGTTATATAACAGAACAAAGTGATCTTGTTTGCCATAAACTTTTTGAAAGTTTGAGGTGGGTTTTTTTTGTAGTAGTAGATAAATGAAATCTGTGCAGTTAATGTGAAACAGAAATACTGATAGTGTTAAAGCATTATTTCAATGAACTGCAAAGTCTTTTATTCCAAATGGTTCAGGTTTATATAGCATTGTATATTATAATGTCCACAACTTCTGTTTGATCTTTTATTTTTGCACTACTATGTCTTTTTTTTGGTTTCCAGATGTATATTGTAATTATTTATGTGTACATTCTCTACACAGAAAGTAAGCTGCTCTATTTATTTATGGTGTCTTACCATGTATGAATGACTAGGAGAAAAGAGATTAGGAATACACAAGCTACTACTTCGATCATTTTTCAATACATTTGTGTTTGAGTACTTTGAATGTTTTTCTACTATCTCCAGTGTTCTATAGTCTAAGAAGGATTGCCCCCAACACAGCTAGCCATGAAAATGCAGGCTTTGTCTGAAATAATTCAGTCAGTTGCTGGGTAGAGCTTGATCCTAGAATCTTAACTTGGCCCCCAGTCAAGCAAAGCCCTTCAGTATATGCTAAAGTGTTTTGTTGATTTGGGGCTTTGGGTAACAAACTTCAGTGGGGTTTGCCCAGAGAGATGACTGAAGGATCCAGCCATTAATTTTGCACAGATATAAAGAGTAGCACGATGCAGCAGCTTGCGGTGAAATGTTGTATTTGAATTGCTGATAGTATCACAGCTACCTACAAACACAAGGCAGGAGCTGATTGGTGTGAGAAGCAACCTTTCACAAAAGAGACCTAGAGAGAGGGGGATTATTTCACTTCAGGTTATTAGAGAGACTCTTTATATCAACCCTGTTAAATGTTAAGATCCTGTTATGTTTGTAATTAATATTATGATTTGATTTGTGCTATGAAGGGCTCCAGGAGGGCTCACGAGAAGGAAGGTATTTTAATAAACTTTCTATTTATTCCACCTCAACCTCCGGGTTTTTCCATTAGCCACAAGTCTCTACCTGATCTCTGCGTGTCTCCTGTCAGACACTGTGAGCCGCTTGATAGCTAATGGTTAAAACCCTAAAAGCAAATGAAAATTGGGCTTCACCTCACTTTTTCTGCATCTTTTGTTCTGTGTAACATTTTGGGCCTGATCTTGCTTCCATTAAAGTCAGTTGGAGTTCTATCATTGACTTACGTGGGAGCAAGCGTAGGTCTTTGTATCTAAACTATGGATTTCCCTCTTCAGAGAGCAAGTAGGATGAATGAAAATTCATGATGTTGCCTGGAATAGTATTTATTTCATGCCCTTCTGGAAAAGCCCT